CAAGCCCTTGAAAGCTCTGACAGGCGTGGTCTTGGACGGAAGTGAGGATTGAGGACAGGCGTTTCTCACAGGCATCTCTCAAAGGCATCTCTCAAAGTCATTTCTCAAGGGCTTTCCAGCGGGAGCAAGCCCTTGAAAGCTCTGACAGGCGTGGTCTTGGACGGAAGTGAGGCTTGAGGACAGGCGTTTCTCACAGGCATCTTTCAAAGGCATCTCTCAAAGGCATCTCTCAAAGGGATCTCTCAAAGGCTTTCCAGCAGGAACAAGCCCTTAAAAGCTCTGACAGGCGTGGTCTTGGACAGAAGTGAGACTTGAGGACAGGCGTTTCTCACGGGCACCTCTCAAAGGCATCTCTCAAAGGCGTCTCTCAAAGGTAACAGGCTTTCCAGCGGGAGCAAGCCCTTGAAACCTCTGACAGGCGTGGTCTTGGACGGAACTGAGGATTGAGGACAGGCGTTTCTCACAGGCATCTCTCAAAGGCATCTCTCAAAGGCATGTCTCAAAGGCTTTCCAGCTGGAACAAGCCCTTTAAAGCTCTGACAGGCGTGGTCGTGGACGGAAGTGAGGATTGAGGACAGGCGTTTCTCACAGGCATCTCTCAATGGCATCTCTCAAAGGCATCTCTCAAAGGTAACAGGCTTTCCAGCGGGAGCAAGCCCTTGAAAGCTCTGACAGGCGTGGTCTTGGATGGAAGTGAGGATTGAGGACAGGCGTTTCTCACAGGCATCTCTCAAAGGCATCTCTCAAAGGCATGTCTCAAAGGCTTCCCAGCGGGAACAAGCCCTTTAAAGCTCTGACAGCCGTGGTCTTGGACGGAAGTGAGGATTGAGGACAGGCGTTTCTCACAGGGATCTCACAAAGGCATCTCTCAAAGGCATCTCTCAAAGGCTTTCCAGCGGGAACAAGTCCTTAAAAGCTCTGAGAGGCGTGGTCTTGACGGAAGTGAGGATTGAGGACAGGCGTTTCTCACAGGCATCTCTCAAAGGTAACAGGATTTCCAGCGGGAGCAAGCCCTTGAAACCTCTGACAGGGGTGGTCTTGGACGGAAGTGAGGATTGAGGACAGGCGTTTCTCACAGGCATCTCTCAAAGGCATCTCTCAAAGGTAACAGGATTTCCAGCGGGAGCAAGCCCTTGAAACCTCTGACAGGCGTGGTCTTGTACGGAAGTGAAGATTGAGGACAGGCGTTTCTCACAGGCATCTCTCAAAGGCATCTCTCAAAGGCTTTCCAGCGGGAGCAAGCCCTTCAAAGCTCTGACAGTGGTGGTCTTGGATGGAAGTGAGGATTGAGAACAGGCGTTTCTCACAGGCATCTCTCAAAGGCATCCCTCAAAGGCATCTATCAAAGGCTTTCCAGCCGGAGCAAGCCCTTGAAAGCTCTGAGAGGCGTGGTCTTGGACGGAAGTGAGGATTGAGGACAGGCGTTTCTCAAAGGCATCTCTCAAAGGCATCTCTCAAAGGCTTTCCAGCGGGAGCAAGCCCTTGAAAGCTCTGACAGGCGTGGTCTTGGACGGAAGTGAAGATTGAGGACAGGCGTTTCTCACAGGCATCTCTCAAAGGCATCTCTCAAAGCATCTCTCAAAGGCTTTCCAGAGGGA